CCCCCAGGGGGGATGGTCACGCCGCAATCCCTTCTCCTCCATTCTCCTCTCGGGATCTTGGGCACGCACGCACACGCGTCCGGCGTGAGTTTTAAGCCACCGGGTCCGGGACACGAACCGCGGTTGACTATGTGGGAGTCCAGCGACATAGCCATTACGCTAATTGCTGGTTCCCCCTAAATGATCTTTTCATGTATGCAAAATTTACAAAGCACTTGAAAGGGAAAGACACAATTTACAAATGATGAAATGTTTAAATTAATGCTTACTTTGCTTGAGAAATTGGCTTGCATATTGTTGAGAGTAAAAAGACAAAAATAGCAGACTATTTTAAAATAAAAATTTGTAACTGTACTAAGAAATTTTACTGTTTGAACCAACCCCCTTTGAGGACTTGGAATAGTATCAGATTACCATATTACTTCAAGATGTATTGTCAGAAATATAGAAATGATACCTTAAGATAGGAAGAAATTGATACAATAAGATAGGAAGAATTTAGGTATCTGTTAAGAATTTTTTCATAAACAATTTTTTTTGGGGGAGGAGGTTTTTGCTATAGGGCACGTGCGCTTGCCGGAGAGACAGAGAGAGACAGAAAGCAAGAAATCACCTCCCAGGAGGGATGGCCATGCCGCAATCCCTTCTCCTCCATTCTCTCGGGATCTTGGACACACATGCATACACGCGCCCGGCATGAGTTTAAGCCGCCCTATCCGGGACTCGAACTTCAGTCGCCTACATGGGAGTCCAACAACATAGCCATTACACCAACTGCTGGTCCCTCATAAGTAATTTTTTAGAGTTTTTTGCCTTAGGATACATGTGCTTGCTAGAGAGACAGAGATAGTGAGAGGAAAAGTGAGAAATTACCCCCTGGGAGGGTGGCTACCCTGTAATCCCTTCGCCTCCATTTTCCTCCCGGGATCTTGGGCACACACCCACATGCGCCAGGTGTGATTTTTAAGCCACTAGGTCTAGGATTCGGACTGTAATTGGCCATGTGGGAATCCAGTGATATAACTGCTACACCATCTTCTGGTCCCCATAAGTAATTTTTTTTTTTTTGAGAGGTTTTCACTATAGGGCGCGTGTGCTCACCAGACAGACAGAGAGAGACATAGAGACAGAAAGAGAGAAATCACCTCCCAGGGGGGATGGTCATGCTGCAATCCCTTCTCCTCCGTTCTCCTCTCAGGATCTTGGGCACACAAGCACATGAGCCCAGCGTGAGTTTTAAGCCACCGGGTCCGGGACACGAACCGCGGTCGACTACATGGGAGTCCAGCGACATAGCCATTACGCTAACTGCTGGTTCCCCCCAGAAGTAATTTTTTTTAAGAGAGATTTTTGCTATGAGAAGTGTGTACTCACCAGAGAGACAGAAAGTGAGAAATCACCCCCCCCCCCCCCCCGCCCCAGGGAGGATGGCCGTGCTACAGTACCTTCTTTACTCTCTTCTTGGGATCTTGGGCATGCATGCACATGTGCGCGGTGTGAATTTAAGTCACTGTGTCTGGGACTCAAACCATGGCTGACTATGTGTGAGTCCAGCAACATAGTCATTACACTATCTGCTGGTCCTATAAGTACTTTTTCTAAACCCAAGTTTTTCTGGAAGGAAAATACTATCTTTTAAAGATCTTACACTGTTTTGTAACTTGGAAAAATAGCACTTAGGTTCTGTTTTTGTATACACATCTGTACACACACACACACACACACACACACACAGACTTTTACTTCTGAACTATAAATCAGATAGACATACTCTATGGGGGAGGATTACTTCAGAATTTTGTTAATGTTACTGATCTGATTTGGTGTTGTACTCTTATGTGTGACTTTTATTTAGTAATTTTGGTCATTCTTTGTGACCATATACAATAAATGAGGTGAAAAATGGACTTGAACCAAGAGCTAGAGGTTTTACATAGCTCAGCATTCATAATTACTTGATATGGAACAGAATACCTTAGGCTAGTGATCTGAAAATGGGACGTAAATGGAATGTAAACAGAATTTAGCATATTAATAATTAATAACTAATAATAATTATTTAAAAAGTTTTCGTGCTTCTGAACTTTAACAAATGTTACTGTTGTGGTGATTTATTCCTTTGTATTAGAATCAGGGGTAAAAAAAAATGATTGTCATTAGAATGAAAAGAAACATCCTGGCTGGCTTTTTAAGATTGATAAATTTATTTACTTGTGAGGAATGAAAACACTATTTTAAAGTTAGTGCATCAGCATATCTTGATTTTGAAGTTCATGATGGAGCCAAACAAAATTCTTGTGAAAATATTTGTGTCATAACAGTAAATTTTTTGGTTTACTTTTTTATTAAAAATTTTTTAAAAGTGCATTGTATACATTGTCCATCCTAGAATCAAGTATTCATCAAACATTCTAGTTTTCCCCCATCCCTCCCCAAAAGGTTTTTAATTGGGGATGCCGAATGTTTGTCACCTACCAAATTAAAAACTGCAGGTCTGTAAACTGGGCACGTAGGGAAGGAACTAGGTGCCGTGTAGACTAGGTGCGGTGTAGGGATTACGGGCTGGCATGTGTACACCTGCTGTCAGGAAACCAGCCTCCCCTCCTGCATGTGGCAGCTTGGCAGACGTGCATCTGGAACGCGTTCTGACTGCAGCTGCTCCCGCGCGCCCTCTTGTCTGTGGTGGCAGCACGTCCTTTCTGTGCCTTGAAGGGGCTGCTTTTGCCCCAGTCAGAGGAGTGTGATCTCCTTTTACAGGTACATTTGAATTAGGTATGCTTGAGATTAAATGGTGGTACTCTTTAAGAGTGCAGTAAGTTTCTAATTGAAAACTCATTGAAATACTCGCTTGGTCCTTAAAGCCAATGAGGAAACAAAATTTTGTCTACTTTGAAACATTTAATAACTTTTTTTTTATCAAAACTTGAGCCTGAGACATATCGGTTTTTCACATTTTATCACTTCATGTCAAAATAATTTTCCCCAGTATGTGTGGATATTAGGAGAAATTAAAATGAGTATCTCGATATTTAAAAAAAATAAATAGATGAGAACTGCATTGATGAAACATCTGAACTTCATGTTTATGGAATAATTCAACTAAATCTTATTGCATGGAATACCGTTTTTAAAACCCTAGAATAGTCAGGTCAGAAAACTGTCCTTTGCACAGTTATAGAGTTTCCTAAAAGTTGATAGTAATGTTTTATTTACAGTTAATTATATATCAAAATGAAAAGCTAAATCTAAAATGAAGAGTCTTTTGACTATCTTCATTTTTTAAAATTAAAATTCATATGGAAAAAATGCAAATACATTTTATTGTCCCCTGACATAAGACTTGAACCATGGATGTGTGTGTGCATGCTTGTTACTGCATGTTAATACACAGAATCCCCTTATGCAGTTCTTATAGATTTCTTTTGGGCTACCTTTTTGATATATAATGTAGTTTTAAGAATTATTTTCTTCAGAAATTAAAAAAATATTTTCTGAGTTCCTTTGTGTGATGAAGGCTAACTAAAACTTTCCCTATGGATGTAGTCAGTTTTACTATACATGCTTTTAGCAATATTTACAGATTGCACATTTGAAAAAAAAAAGGTCTTTCCTAGTGTAGCTTACGGTGGCGATACCTGCCTGCCTTTTCTTTTGCTGCATTGGCACAGGCATTGTGCTTATTTTGTTGTAAATGGTTCCAGTATTTTATCAGTTCACTAGGCTGGAACTGATGAGAGGTAATTAGGTGGCTGTATTTACAGCTTGAATAAGAAACTCGCCAGTGATTGAACACAAACTCGTTGGGAGGGGGCACAGGATCAATCCTCAACTTAGCAAGACAGATCCCTACGTACACATCTTCCAAGTGCAAACGACGGATGCCTAAAGAAACTTTAAATATCTTTTCTGCCAGATCTCCAGAAAAAACGTAACCCGTTCCAGAACAGAAGACCGGGTAGCGCTCGCTGGGGTAGAGGTCTGGCGGCATGTACCACTTGCTGTCTTTGTTCCGATTGGGCGCATACCCTCGCATTAGGTAGCCGGTGAAATAGTTACGTCTGGGAGGCAGGTCCGGCTTCAGTAACTTGTGTATTAAATACTCGGTGTTGACAAACATGTCACTGTCCGTTTTCATAACATACGGAACATGTGGACAGTATGTTGCAACCCAGTTCATGCCCATTAGTGTTTTAGTGGTCAGATTATAGTACGTATCTAAGTATTCCTGTTGAATTATGTCATGATATTGTCTGCTTTCTTCCAGTATTGCACGTTGAAGGTAGCCATTTAGCTTAATACTAACGCCCAACAAAAAAATGCGGGTGATTTGGATACCAGGTGCTAGACTTTCATTGCCCCAAGTTTGCCGAATAGCTCTTCTAGCTTCTGTTTGTCCTGGTTCTGCAGCTATTAGTAGTATTAAGAAAGGATTTTTCTCCTGGCATTTTCCCGGCTCATTGATAATGTATTTGAAGTGGTAAGAGTTCGGATGCCCAGTGCCCTTTTCATTGTAAATACTTCCATTGGCACTAAGTGTATTCTCCAGCCCTGTGACTCCTTGTGGTGACAGATCTGTATTATTGGAGTTTGTTACTGTTTGAGGCCTCAGCGTTTGAGGGACTGTATCTTTCCAAATGTTCCGAAGGGAGCTGTGGTTTGTTTCACTTTTTGTAGAACGAAATCCTCGGAAAGTGTATGTCACAGGGTTTTCTTTGAATCCAGTTCTACCTGGCAGCCAGTCATGGTGACTGAAAAATAAAAACATAGCGAACAGAAACACTAGAGAAAGTACACCAATGAGGTGGGTACGGAACAGAGACCTCTTGGCATTCCAGGTCATTTTTGCGAAGCAGCAATGTCTTCTCCTCCACTGAAGCATGTTGTGAATATCCAGCAGTGGCATGTGAGATACCGGTGGCCAGAGATGTTTTCTCTTCCCAAATCAATACTGTTCTTTGGTCATTATTTTCTAATTCAGTCACGTCGTGTCCCTCGAAGTCATTCTATAAAGATGAAGCATAAAAGTTTACAAGATGCCAAATCTTAAAGAGCTGCCTGTAAGAGACTCTGGATGCTAATAGAATTAGGCGAATAGGAGCTTCCTAAGTGTGAAAATATGATAACTCAGACCGTTTGCCCACGGCAGCATAACATGATCACCCACACAGACTTAATTTCTTAAATCTACACTCCCGTAGCACAGCGAGCACTTCTTTTTAAAGGGAGGTGACGGAATAGTTTTCTTATGTTTATTTCATTATCTCAGTTGCTCTGGTCATTTGTATTTGGCCCAAGTTAAAAATCTGAAAGTTCAAAGACTGTGAAAGAGGGACATGTCACTAGATTCCTGAGAAAGGCGGTGTAAGGAAGGCTTGAAAGCAGATGGGAAATTTATTGGCATTAATTAAAATTGATTTGACATACCATTGGTGGTATGGTGCACAGTCAGCGGCCTTTTTTGTAAAATGGTCATGTATCAGTTGTGGGGCAGACGGTGCAAGGTTGATGGTGGCAGAGTTCTGTTAGTCACAGTGCACTGCTTGGCATGTTTCCACTGGCCCCTACTGTGCTGAGAAAGTCAATGAGAAGATGCACCTGTCAAAATTAATTTTCAAGGTCCAGTAACTTCAGTGCAGGATTTTTTGACAGTAATAAATGATGAACATTTTCAAGTACTCTTTTCTAATTTTAACCTTCCACTTCAAGTATGAACTATTCAGAAAATCATTATCCTTAGACTTTAGAATAATTTTAAAACACAGCTTGTAATTACCTTTAATTGTCTATGGCTTTGGCAGAGTACCGTCACATATCTCAGTTGAGTCTCTATGGTAAAAGTAAACCCAAATCTAGTTTGAACAGTCTTTCTAGGTTTTCTACAAAATATAAGCCCTAGTTACTATCATATCCAACTGTTTAAAAATTTTAATTTCACAGAGTGTATTTTTAAAAATTCTTGAGTTGTTCTGTTGTAAATTTGCACACAGGGACTGTGTTAAAGTTTTAGGACTTCTAAATTTTTAGGACAATACTTAGAGCCCTAGATTTAAAGGTTATGAGCTGTCAGTATGAGAGGTGTATGAGACCTATATTTAGAACTAGCCATTTTATCTTGCAGCTTGGTTTTTCAGTACATAGCACAACTCGTTCATGTTGGTGGTCAGTTATTTCTGTGTGTTCTTCATTCTCCTGGGCCCGGTGTGGGGCACCTGGGAGGGGAGGAGCAAAGGACTACAGTTTGGCTCTCAGTAAAAGAGAAAAAAACTTTTTGGGAAGGGGGACTAATAACTGCATTTTTAATTTTTTCAACTTTCTATTTCAAAAATTGTTTAGTTAATAAAAAGATAAATTAGTGTATTAGAAATTTTAAATGTAGGAACATTCATTTCAAATTTACTATACATGTAAATACATATATGTTTATTTAGCCCGTAATATTGAAAGATTGATGGTTAATAACAAAGTTATTTACCCTTGAAATGAAATATAATTGTTTTTAGAAAACAATAGCATTTACATGGAAATCCTCATATAATCAAATAGCTCTAGGGTGAAATTCACATACGCAGTGTTAAGTGCTTTGAAAATATTGATTGAAACTGTTGGGCTTATATGAATGAAAGCACTATTCTAGTAGCAGCCACTAGGAGGAGCAAGAAGGTGGGACTTTGAACGAATTTCTGAAGTGGAACAGGCACTAGCATTTGATCATTTCTGGTTTTGAGATTGTATAGTACTTATAGAAGATATAACATTTTCCAGATATGAAGCATTATTTACTCGTTTTGAGAGATATGAGCATACAAATTTTTTAAAGTTTTCAATTTGAAAATTAATGTAGTTTATTGTGTATGTGAATTATAATCTTACTATAATGAAGACCAAGGCTACTCAGCGTATCAACAAAACATAGTTCTGCTCTAAGCTAAGCTGAAAATAATGGAGCTGAGCATTCTGTTAAGAAACTCAGTTTTTCCTTCTTGTATTTGTAAATAGTTGGCCATTCTGTTTATACCAGGAAGCTGTTTTTAAGGTTTTATTTCCAAATAATGTACTTGTAAGTAGTAATGACTCCCCCTTTATCTCATAAAGAGACCAGCAGATGTAAGGGTTATGTGTGTAAATTAAAAGAAATAAAATTTGCTTTTAAAATTTATTTGATAATCTAAATATTCCAAAGACAGATATATCAGCTTTCTATTGATACAATAATGCTTGGAATCTGGTTGAGTTTAAAACTATTTAGGTTCTTGAAAGTGTAATTTTGATGACTTAAATAATTATCTATTCAGTCAAAGAACTAAGTAAGGGATGAAAGTAAATACAACTATAGTAAGTTATGTTTTTGAAAACAGTACACCTGAAGTGATATCTCCGAAGTATTTCATCATTACAGAAAACAGCAATTTGCTTCATGTTGTACTCTGGCATAAGCATATAATTTAGTTCTAATGTGATTTTGTAACAGTATGTGATAGAAATGCACTTTAATTTAGACTTTATGATATTTGTGTATTTGTGACTATTTAGCTGCTAAGGCTTGAAATCTATGTATACTTATTTGTCTCCCTCTGATAAAGGAAGCGCAGGTATCTCCCCTTGTAAAAGTCTTTTTGTTAAAAGCTTCGTAGGTGTATTTCATAATTTTTCTGTTAAAATTAAAGTAACTGTTCCTTTGTTTATTAAATGATAAATATAATCTGCAGTTATTGGTAGTATTTGAATTCTCAAATAAATGTGAACAAGATAAGAAAGTTAAAATATTTTGGTATGCAAACTAGTTTTGCATTTTTACATATTCATAATAAGAATAGCTGATTTATCACATAATTTTTATGATGATAATATTTTCAAATTGTTAATGTATATTTGTATCTTATAGATTGGATTTCATGGGAAGAATGTTGCTATAAAATGCTGTGTTTTGTACACACACACGTTCACACACACACACATTTTTATCATTGAGCTTTTAAAAGTTTGGATATCTTTAGCCTGTTGGCACAGTCTTAGATTTAAATGGTTTTTTAATACAAAAACTTTTATACTTTTGAGATGTCTAATTTATAATACTGCATAATTGGTGACTTTAGCATTGACAGAGATAAAGTTGCCAAGAGGCACTTCAGTTTTTATAACTATATATTTTGTTTAATTCTATCTAATTTCAGTCTTAATAGAATAAATATTTCATGTTTCTGAGAGTTGATGTCGAGATGTAATAGGGCCTGGTAAGCTTGTTAAATCTTAATTTTGGAATGCAATACCCATAGGCACTTAAAAATGCTTGTCCTTTGTGATTCCTAAAGACTACTGAGTTGGGTAAAATTGAGGAAGAATCAGGATCTTCATCATATTTGTAAAATTATGGAAATATCTTGAGTTTGTGAGCTTTGAGTGTCTAATTGTAAAATTATTGCTAACATAGTTTGATTGATCTCTGCCCTGTGCACATATATAGTGGCAGTAGTTGGTTACTACATATTAATATAGCCCAGGAGCATATTAGCTACATTTATATTTAATTTTTTGACCTTGTATTGCCGTTCTTGGATATTTTTGTGTCAAAGTATTTTTATATCATATTCTCGAATTTCGTTCTTAAAAAGATTACCAGAACAGCCTTAGATATGATTGTTCAGAACAAGTCTGTTACCTAAAGTGAAATCTCTATTTCAGTAGGGGCATTTTTAGCAACTATTGCTGTCTCTTTGTTTAAAGTTGTATCCGTGGACACTCAGCGTGCGACCACTGGCGGTGTGCTGTGCTCCAGCTCACACTGCCTGTGCTCCGACGCCGGCTTCCCTCGCATCGTCTCACAGCTTGGTAGTACTTAAAATTTGTGGATATTCTCCCATGTCGTGTTTATTATTCAGGGAAATAGATATTGTGAGGGAGGTTATGAAAAAAGGCTGTTTTATACTAAGATTTTGTTTCAAAAGGACTTTGAAGGAAAGCTCTTAATAGTATGATCATCATTATTTAATGTAATCTCACTGCATTGTCTCTTTTGATAGCCATTTTTAAGAGAGCACTTTAATTTACTAGATAAGAATTCAGCATGACCTAATTTGGTGGAGGTTTGGTATGTTTTCTGTAAAGGACTACACATTTTTTTCAAGTTTAATTTCTCAGAGAACCCTTTCGGCACCTCTCCTTACTACTCCTTGCCTTTTTCCTCTTAGATGTCTATAACCCGGAATTACTCCAGGCTACATGTTTAGCTGAGAAAGCAGTGACAGCTTGTCTTCTAAACAATGACACATTTTAAAATCATGTCACTTAGAAACCCTTTCATAGTTTCAAGGGCAGTGAACTGTGTGAAGTTGTTTATCAGGTATCAATGCCTCCAGGACTATAAAAAGACAGCATATTTAATGGATATCACACACAAGATAGCGACATACCTTCCTCGACAGGCCATTTGTGTGGAGAGGATTATGCCCACTGAAAATACTTTTGGCACGCCATCACTTCAGCAAAAAGATGCTATCGAACATGCGCACATCCCCCAACAGTCTGCCTCCTGCGATTGCTTTTCACAGTCTCCAAAGTGTCCATCTGTCTGCTTGTCTTCGGGTTGTCCTCCTTGTTCATAGGGGTCCTAGTCGTCTGAGATTTCCCCTTTCTTTCCTTCTCTCTGTCTTCCCTTAAACAAAAGAGCTGTAGTTGTCCGTGCTCTCTGGAGCACTGTTGACTCTTCCCGACAGTTGATGCATTGAAGCTTTTTACAGCTGCTGTTTTCCGGGCTGGACAATGCGGTGCTGTGTTCTCTTCCCAGTATCCATATTTCTCGTGCCGACACTGAGCTGCAGTGTAGAGCAGCCAGAGCTGGGATGTAGTGCCTCCTCGTCTTGGGGAAGAATAGGATTTACCTCTCTCCTCGCGCTGTCGCCTGGCAGCTGCAGGAAGGCTGTGGAGCGGTTTTCCTGGGGTTGAGCCTGTGCTGTGAAGTCCGCGGCTCCTCAGCTGCTGCACAGGCAGGCAGCAGTTTCAGTGTGGGCTTGGCAGATGCTCTCTCTGACAGAGCAGAATTTCACGTCACTGCTTGGCTGAATCCCACGTGATGGTTTGCATTCATTTTGACTAGAGACCTAAGGTAGGGAGAAGCTTAGAGATTGTGCTTCTGTGTGATAAATTATATAGATTTAGTACAAGCGTGTAGTGGTAATTGAAAAATAAGTAAACGGGATGATGAAATAAATGGATATGGTTTTGCCTTTTCCAGCTTATTTTCTTCTTTCGTTCTGTGCTTCAGCATAGGCTTTCCGAATGTTTTCTGTGCTAGGCGTCGTTTTTCATGTTTCTTACGTGCTTTTGGAGAGTGTAAGTAATAAAAACCTTTATATGTAAGTCAGTGTAATTTAACCTCTTCATTGCATTCTTTCTCTTGAAGTATTTTTTTTCTCCTCTTCAAATTGTTTTGATTTTTCCAATATCTAGTTAAGACTCCTAGACTATTTTCACCTTTTATTTGTAACTTAGACCCCTGCCCCCCCGGGAACTTAGACCCCCCCCCCCCGGGTTTTCTGAGTTTTATATAAAATCAGCTGCTGTGGATTGTTTTACTGACACACGGTGTGATAACGGCCGCTTCTTTTTTTGCTCTCAGTGTGATTTTTAGTGTTTTCGAAGGCAGTAAACTTTATTTCTAATCACCTTTAAGTGTCAGTATTTATTTTTTACTTTTTAAAAAAATACCACGTGCCGTGGAGTCAAACCAAACGATATTGTAGAGACCCCATACTCATACAGGATATTCTTGGGTAACGAGGTTCTAATTACGTTTTCTTATCCTCGTCTTCTAGGACGACGTAGTAACTTGCAGATTTGTAATAAGCACTGGACCTCACTCCGCAGTCTTGTAGTGCAGTTGGTTTCGGGGCTCTTTGGCACTTCGCTGCTCTTTTCCTGCAGAGCACTGGGGCAGTGTTGTGTGCGTGTGTGTGCGCGCATGTATGTGTGCCTAATTAAATGTTTCAAGTTTGTCTTCTGAGAGTCTAGGGACAGTAATTAACCCCTAGAATGTATGATTTTGGAGAGTAAGCTATCTATTGTATATGCTCTTCATCTCTTCTGTCTTTTTTCAATAATGTCTGTTATTTCAAATGATTACAGATTTTTATTTTCTCTAAAGTTAAAACAATTTTTGTCATATTTTTGAGTTTTGCTGATGAATTTTGCTTTGTAGTTTTAGGGACATCATAACTTTTTAAAATTATTTTTTTAAGGAGTGTGTGACTTGGCTAGAAATGTTAGAATACTAAGGAAAAGAAATTTTATAAATGGGAAGCCTAATGTCTAGAACTTAGAGCTTTGACTTTCCCTAGTTAAATTTGAAGGAGAGAACTAAAACCTGAGTTTTTAGCATGTGGTCCTTACATCCACTCCTGCTGCTGTGCTCACTGCCTTTTTTCTTTCTTAATTAAACTACATAACAGAGTAGTGCTCAAGAACTACGAAACTTATTTTCCAAAAGTAGTTGTGGATTTACATATTAGCGGTCAGTATTTACCTGTGATTGTTTTATGAAGGATGTGACTATCAAGTTAGCAGCAGTGACTAGTTATCGAGAGTTTACCCCAAGTCAGATTATGAGCTGAACCTACTTGTACTGGTATGGAAATGACTTTTTCCTCATGATTGTTTTATTAATGTAATACTCATTTTAAAACTGAGGAACTAGTGTGTATAGTTAAATAATTAGCCCAAGATGAACTAATTAGTGATGGGGAAGAGCCAAACAGGGAACTGAATGAAGCAAGATTACCTACATCCTTATGCATTATTCTTACTAACATACTGCAGGGGCCAGCAGGTGGCGTGGTGGTTCAGGCTCTGGATTCCCATGTGGCTGACTGCTGTTTGAGTCCCAGACCTGGTGGCTTGACACTCAGCGTCATGCGTGGGTGCATGCGTGCCCAAAAATCTCGAGAGGAGAGTGGAGGAGAAGGGATTGTGACATGGGATCCTCCTGGGGGGGTGATTTCTCACTTTCTGTCTGTCTCTCTGCAGTGAGCATATCTGCACTATGGCAAAAACCAAAACAAACAAACAAAAAAATTACACTACATTACCCTGCTGAAAAAGTGTACCCCCCCCACCCCCCCGTACTGGAATAGCATATGTTAATAGAATTATGAACAGATGTTTATATTTTCACTTTATTCACGTTTTCAACAGAGACATAGTATTGACCACCTGTTATTGCTGACATTTGCATGTAGCTTATTAAATATAGGGGTACTGCTTATTAAATATAGGGGTACAAAGATGATTTTAGAAACAGTCCTCTACCCCTTCTTCCCAGAGAAGGATGAAACAGTTATTTTTGCCAAATCTTTTTGACTGGACTCTTTTGATGTCCTGGATTTATTAGGCCCCAATGAGATTATTACTAAATTAGGTGAATTAAATTAAATTACTAAGAGAACTCGTTGCACAGTAACCAACTCATTAGTGAGTGGTCCCCTCTGTTGTTGGGTTGAGCCCCGAGTTTCCAGTGGGTGGTTTTCTCCCCTGAGCTTGCTTCAGGGCGCCCGTTCCTACAGGAAGAGGCTCCTGGATGTGCCTCAGGAAAAGAGCCCGTGCGCCCCGCCAGGACTCGCTGCACACCTTTGGGTACACCTGCAGCCTGTTTCCTCAGGTGAGGTAAAACTGGTTGAGAACTTTACATATACAGAAAAGCAGAGCAGACATGAGATAAAAGTTCCTTTAGTGACTTTTTCTAGCAACCTACATGTTTCCAGTCAAGAGAAATGGTAAAAATCTTATGACAGGCAAGCTTGCAGAAGTTCTTCCTTTAGTGTAGTTTCTTTTAACATTGAATTCTGTGGTTAAACTAACTCAATAAATGTGACAGGTTTCTTTGTCATACTCAGCAAACTGGCAGCGATTTTGTTAAGCCATATAGTTATAAATGGCTTGTTATTGTTACTTGCATGGTCTGCCTTTTAATCTTACAACATGTGCCTGATGGAAAATATAGGTACCATTCCTATGTGCCTACGGCCCACACCGTCCGGGCTGGTTGTAGATTCTCCTGGGCATCTCTTGGATAGCCATAGAAGTGCCAGAATTTAAAGACAGGATTTGTAATGCCTAATTCTTAGTTTCTACTGGTTATAGAAATAATTACTTCCTTACCCATGTAGTTCATAGTTTTTGAATGATTGTTATTGGGTTGTCGGAGAAGTCATGACACATTTTTCTGTGTTTCTATGCAAAGATGCGTCATGACTTTTCCAACAACCCAGCACATTGAGTTGGGAATCAGAGATAAACTTGCTGTCAAAGTGGCTCACTGACACACGAAGATCTGTCATATGTCTGTGGGTAGAAGTTCCCTGACTGTCCTTGGTAAAAAGATTGAGAGAGAAAAGGGAGAGGGCAAGAATATTTCAACTAAAGTTTGTGATTTCCATTCCATGAGAATGAGCAAATATCCTTGAGTAATATGATAATGGTGTCTTGGCTGGTTTCCCCACACTGGTCTTTATTTCTCTTTGTGTGTTAGTATCTTAATGCAAGCATTTCTTTCACCTAGTGCTCACCAAAAGAATTAGCTTTTCCAATGCTAGAAAAAAATCTTAATGTTTTGGATCAAGAGTAATTTCTGAAAACTGCCATTTCACACAATGTAGGGACCAATTTTAGTTTTATTTAGAGCACTAAACAGTTTTGCATTGTAATATTTGCTTGGCATTTATCTCTTATCTGCTTTGATTTAAAACCAAATGTGTCTTTTTTTTATTACTATGTAGAAGATCTTGATCATTTAATGTTAGTTGTTTTCCAGAATTTTTTCCTGAAGTCCGTATATGACTTATGAACCAGTTTTATTTTTCCTTGCACTCACAAAGCAAGAATTAGCCTGATTGCAAATTAGCAATCTCAGAATGACCACAAGTGTCAGTGTTAGCCTGCTTTATTTTTCTCTTCTCCGGTTTTCACCAAGTTGTGCAGCACATACTCAGATTGTTTAAGAATTTCTTTTGACTTGAAAGCAAAGCTAAGTTTATGTGTCTCTTTTAGAACTAATCATGGACACCTTTATCTGGTTTAATTCATACAGACTGTTGGATTGTGGGAAAGTCCCGACACATTTTTGCATAGCAAAACAGGAAAATAAGTCATGACTTTGCCAACAACCTAATATTAACGATTAGAAGGGAAAGTATAAGCATTTAAAATCAGCAGTGGCTTGGTAAATACTTATCCTTGTGTATTCTTTGTTCAGTAGCACAACCCCTTCCGCCCAAGAGTCTTGGTGAGCGCTTCCCTTAGAACTCTCCTCTGAGCCTGCTCCTGAGGGCCTAAATGCAGGTCGAAGGGCATTTAGGGAGTGGGCTGGGTAGGTGGTGTCCTGTGGTGTGGAGGTCAGCTTTGGAAATAGGCTCGTTTTGTGTTTGAGCAGCACTGTGTGTCCCACGGGATATCTGTATGGATGAAAGTCCTTCTTTATAATTAAATGAACCTAAAACCCAATTGGAATATAAAGTATGTTTTGTACAGTTTTAGTGTGCACAGAATTGTCTAGGGCTGTAACTACATGGAGGGAAGCATGCATTCTGTCTGGTCTTGGCCAGTCGCTCATCATTTCAGAAACGCATGTTGCCTGTGGCAGTGTCTGTGGCCTTGTGATCGCAGCATTCACTATGGCTTTACACAGAGATGTTAGCATCTGGTTAGTTCATTATGTCTTCTGGTGTAATCCTGTCCGAGACTTAACATATTGAAATACATACTTTTATCATAAATTCCTTTCTATTATGTCTCCTTTGTATTAGTGTGTTTTAAAAAATTTTCAGAGAGAGGGTGTGCACACCAGAGAGAGACAGAGAAGAAGGTGCCCCTCCTCTCTATAGGACATGGTCATGCCACAGCCCCCTCTCCTCTCTCTCCACCCTGTCTAGAATTGGGGCACACATGCCCATGTGCCTGACTTGTTCTCAAGCCACGGGGACCTTGATTCAAACAGCATGGTCAGTCAGCCACGTGCAACCTGGCTGTCCCAACCACTGAGCCATAAAGCTGGCCCTGTGTTGGTGCACTGATTTTACAGAATATACGCAGAGGTTGTTCTGTCACCTTTGCA